GTTTCATGCAGCTGGGGCGAATGGGAGTTGTTGGCCAACACTGAAGGGCACGAAGTGGAGGAAGGCAGCCCTGGAACCTGGCCATGATGGCTTGAAGCTGATCGATCGAGTCTCTCCAGGGTCTCATGGAAAGGGATTTTTTTCCATTGACTGCTAACTGATCCCATGAGCTGGAGATCCTGGGAACTGAACTGCACAAACTTCATCTACTTTGTACCTCTGGACTAAAAATTTTTATACTCTGCAACAGTAGCCTCCCAAATTGGTTTAAGCCTAAACAGAGCTATACAGCATAAACGGAGTAAAACCAACATACCCCAAGAGGATATGGCATCATTTCTGGCAAAACAATATGACACATACCCATAAAAAATATTTTTCTGCTCTGACTTAATTTCCAGTACCCACTGTAATATGTCTCTTTTCCTTTCCTGAGTCCAGCGGTGGCAGCTCACCCAGCAGCAGCCCTGAAGTTCTTCTTTGCCAGCCAACTGCATAAAAAAACACCAAATGCCTTTCCTTAGCCCAAATTTTCTGAGCCGCTTCCTTTGGACCTTCCCAGGCAGGTGAGGCAGAGCACAGATCCCAGCAGTGTCTACCAGCCAGCAAAGACCACTAAGCCAGGGCTTTCGTTGTCGGCCGATACAGAAAGGGAGAGCGGGCATTTTAAAGAAAACTCCAAAGAACAACTTACAAGAGTGCACAAGACCCCCTTCTAGGCTCGCCCCTGCTAATAAGCTAACCAAAGAGTTGTTCACCCATCCACTAGATCCGTGGGGGCGAACCTACGGCACGTGTGCCGCAGGGGGCACACAGAGCCCTCTCTATCGGCACATGAGCCAGGTCGCCCCGGCATCGCCCCAGCAGCCGAGCATCGGATAACAGCGCACACAGTGGCCATGCGCATGCCCGGAAAGGAGTAGCGGCGCCAGGCGATGATGTCACGAGCCACGACTCATTAGCCGCGACTCGTCTGAGCTTTCACATGGCCAGTCAGTGCACTGCAAAGAATATATATATATTTGCTTGGACTGGCCGTGAGGTGTTTTTTCTAAACTAAAACCTCAGCATTCAGGTTTTATTGCAGTGTTGGCACTTTGCGATAAATAAGTGGGTTTTGGGATGCAGTTTGGGCACTCGGTCTCGAAAAGGTTCACTATCACTGCCCTAGATGTTTGATAGTCCAACAAGAAGGAGTATGAAGAAAACCACATGTCCTAGCAGGACCCAGAATGAGCACACCTATGCGCATCTACCTGCATGTGCAGGGTTCAGCTTTGGATACATGTAGCAGCCTTTGCCCTCTGGATATGTTGGGAACAAGTCCCATCATCCTCAGCCTGGACGGCCCATGAGCCAATTGGCTGGGAGTTGCAGTCCAGCACATCCCAAAGGCAGCAGGGTGGGAAAGAGTGATCATTGCCTGAAAGTCATGCAGTCTCATGCAACTCTTTTATATTTTATATTTATTTTATATTGTTAATTTTAATTTTATATTGTTATTTTTGTATTTTATTGTGTTGTAAGCCGCCCCGAGGCTTCGGCAAGGGGCGGCATAGAAATGTTCTAATAAACAAACAAACAAACAAACAAACAAACTTCCCCCACTGCGATCTAGCAGGGGTAGCTAGCTGCCCATCCTCGAGCCCTCTTCAAGCGATCAGTCCAGCTCTCTTGCTAGAGCGATCTGTCCCACCCTTGGCAGCATGCGGGCTGGGGAAGAAGTGGAGGAAGGGAGAAAGAAGGCAGTAGAAGAGGGGGAGAGAGAGAGAGAAGGGGATGCAGAAAGGAACGGAGGGCCTCGCCTACTTCTGGCTTTTGTGCACCCTAGGTGACCCACCCTGCCAGATAACATCCCCCTTTTAAATTCCCGCAGCTGGTGAAAATTCCTGCATTGCTGGAAACCGTATTGCCTCGCATTCCGAAGGCCCATTATTCCATTCCAAGGTCTGATGCTCGCTTTGTGCTTTCAGGGAGAAAGATTGTCCTAAATCAGGGAGGGAAAACCTGGCACCCTGCAGATGTTTTTGGACTCCCACATGGCCAATGGGCAGGGCTGGAGTGCCACCTGTTGCAGACCCACGAGGTGATGAGAACACATGAATCAGTTCTAGAAAACACGTTGTTGCTATGAACATCAAAAATGGATTTTCAGGGAGGGCTAGAATTATACTCGCTCCTCATGGCTAGCAGATCTTGCCAGAGCAGCAGTCCAAAGCTGCAGAAATGCTTCAGAGTCAAAGGCTGTTTACAACTCTGAAATGTTTATAACTCTGAAAATATTCTGCCTTGCTTCAAAGTTCCTCTCAGGATGCCTTTAGGGGGAGAGAAACGGGTGTGCTTGAGGTCCTGAGAGTCTCCTCTTAAAGAAAAATGGAACAAAGCAAAAGTTGAAGGCCAACGTTACTCAGACCCTGGGTCAATGAATCAGAATTCTCAAAATGTATTTGAAAAGAGATGTTTGCACATATTTGAGTATGCTCAGTGTGGAAGGTGTGGGCCATGAAACCATAACCAAAACCAGTAATCTTGGCCAGAGCCGTAGTTTATTGCTTCTGAAGCAAGACCACTTTACTTCTGTTCTTTCACACCTTAAGGACTAGACACTTGTTTTAAAAAATGGGGACAGGGAAAGAAGGAACAGACTCAACTCTTAGAATGCAGAATTCCATATATAATATTAAATGTGTGCTTATCTTCAAAGCATTCAGTCGGAAAGCAGCTTACAAATTCTGGACAGTAATCATTGCCTTTATTTATGGTGTTCAGGGGTGTTGCTTAGCTAGCCAAAAAGGCACCTTCCAAGCAGAAGAGGGAATTAGGAGCAGGTTCTTGGAATCTGTAAGGAACTCCAAAGTGCAGTTTATTCTTAAACACATCCTAAAAAAAGGACCCCCCCCCCCCATAACCCAATAGGACTGAGCATACTCAGTGGCCCTGGAATACTTTTGATGAGAAGGGGGGATGGAATAGGCCAGAAAGCTTCATGGCTAGCAGACACCCTGCACAGGAGCATGGGCATTCATTGATCATATGGTCGTTAGTAAAATGCACAATCCATTCAGCCTGCCCAAGCCATGGATGCTCCAGGGCCCCTCCCTGTCGCTGGGCGTTCCACCAGCGATCGTTCAGGGCCGACCTGCACCAGTTCACTTGTCTTGGCTTCAGCAGGCACAGAAAAGCAACTAGGAATTGTAGCGTCCAGTTTGCTGAAAGGTCACCCAAGGGATAATTCTGGGTGCAGCTGGTGGGAAATGCTGGGAGCTGGAGGCCTGTATATGTAAACATTCTCAAGATGGTGCCTGAACTCTTTTCTCCCACACCGATTGTCGTCTCCAAATGTCCGTTCCTGGACTGTTTCCCCCATTCTCTCTCAGAAACCAAAAAGGGGCAGAAGGTGAGAAAACAGCTTCAAGGGGCGTTTGGAGGAGAAATCCTGAGCGAGGAGGGAACGAGGAGCTACCAACGCTTACGGGCTGTTCCAGAATTGCCGCTTTTTGTTTGATCTGTGGACGTAGCATTCTCTGTGATACCTCGGCCCTTTTCCTGCCAACAAGAGTGATGAATTTGAAGGCAACGGCCAAGGAATGTGTTTTGCAGCTTCCACCTGGATGACTTCAGCTGCAAAGCATCTTGAGTTCATCTGGGAGCACCAGAGACTGATAACCTTTCTCCTAGGGATGAGCTATGCAAGGTTGTCATCAGCTTAAACTCCACACCCACCCAAAGTGGCATATGAGATTAACTCTGCGTAGCTACCTGATCTCTCTCTCAAGAGAACATAGAAGGAACCAAAGGCCTATCTGGACCAGCATTCCAGGCCATAGAATCATAGAATAGTAGCGGTGGAAGGGGCCCTGAAGGCCATCGGGTCCAACCCCCAGCTGTTGCGGGACACCAAGTTACACCACCTCACTCATTATCAGCTTCCCAGAGCTACGAGGGTGATAAAGAGCTCCCCTTGGGCTAGAATTCTGGTGTTGGGAGATATACTACTCCAGACCAAGGGGGTTCAATGACTGTGGCTATTGCAGAACGCTCTCCATGATCTAAGCCTCTTAAAAACTGGTGCCAAAACTCAGGTCTGTTGGCCAAATGCTGCCTATCTGAGAGCCAAAGTGGTCCCCAAGGGTTTCCCCATCCCCATTCCCAGCACCTTCCTGCAGTTTTCCAGTCTTTGCCCCCATCCCCAAAGGGTGCAGAGCCTCAACTAAGCTCCAGTTATTGGCAGAAAGAACTTTTAACTAAAATATACTGATTTTTTGGTATTAAATGTAGCCTTACCCATCTTGTCCAGCACTGGAACGTCACCAAAACACAACCATTGTTGTTGTGTCTGTTGACCCTGCAGCTTTACAAGCATTGCTATTTTTTTAATCCTAACCTGGGACTTGGGCTGGTAGACTAGCAAATCTGGAAGGTGTGAGGCTGGAGCCAGTGGCTATGTATTTTGTTTTTGTTAGCCATCTAGAGCTCCTTTTTTGGAAATGATAGATACAAGTTTTACACAAACAAATATATGACAATGGATGCTTTGTGGGCATATAGAGACCACTTTCCAGTTTCAAAATCCAGAAGACAGAATCAAAATTGTGCCAGAAGATGTTGAGGCATTAGGATAACTAGAAATATGAACTATGGATATTTCAAACAACCTGGGCATTGTTTCTAAAGTTCAGTACTTGCAGGGGAAATGCTACTTTGCTCAGGAATGTTTCCAAACAGATTTCTGTCCCATGCTTGGACAAGATGAGAACTACAATCAAATGAACAAACAAGCAAAAAAAATTCATTCCAGCTTTGTGACTCATGGTCCATTCTCATCCCTGCAAAGAATTCATGATTGCTTCACTTTTAATATATTTTCCTCAGCATCAAGGTTAAAAAAAAAAAGCTGGGATTTATAGTAAGCAAAATCTGGCAGGTGCAATCGTGTTTTCTGCATTCTTGCAGGAATAGTGGTGCATCGATAAATCTGTTTAAAGACTAGACTAAAGGCAGAAGACAGAGGACAAGTTTATTTCAACGGGTGGATGTAACAGCATCCCGGGTCATCCATGGTGAAGTGCAATGATAAACAGATAATAATTTTAACACTTAGAAAGAATGCCTTCATGTAAATAAACAAAGTGTACTCCAATTTAGAGATAAAAGCAGAATACTAGTTCTTTAAAACAATAACTTATGAGGCAAATTTAACAACCGTGAGATAATTTCTTCACGACTTTCATTGGTAAGATCTAAAGAATTCATCTAACAGGAAATCTAGGGGATTAGCAGTGGCGTCATTTAAAGGACGGGAGGGGGACATTATGTTTAGGGAAAAGGTAGTTTTTGTTATTCATGTCTTTGAATCGAGCTTCGCAAGATGAAGTGCTCAGAAAACGACACACCAGCTGCAAGTGTTTTGCTAGAAACACGCCTGCACAAATGTACACACACACTTGTTCAAGAGAGGAAGAAGTCACCTTTGATCGCAGCGACAATCTAAGCAAAATTTGAGCTGAGCAAGGAAAAAAGCCACCTCAGGGACATACGGAAAATGCAGTGATAGGCTAATAACACACTGGATTTATATGGAACGAGGATGGGCCAACTTACCCATGCTGGGCTCCATGTGCCGGGGGCTCATTTACCCCACATGCCAGGGGTTGCACGCCATGTTTGCATTCGTGGTCAACGTCCCAGGGAGGGGTGTAGTTCCAGTGAGAGGAAACATGCTTTGCACGGTGGGAAGGTGGAAGACTGGACTCCTTTCCTACAATCCCCATTTCAGGGGGTCTCAGGCTGGCAAAGTCAGCAGGAAGGGGTCTGCCAATAGCAGAGATACTGCGCCTTGCCGGTGCGCTTCCCACAGGCATCTGGTTAGTCCTGGGGGAGCAAAAGCTGGAGGAGAGGTGCCTTTAACCAACCTGGCACAGCTCTTGCCCTTGTCGTCTTAAAGGCCTTTGCCATGGCTTTGGAGTCCCGTCAGCACTGGATCAGGATGCATCGGGCTGGCAGTTCCACGTATTCAGTCCTGCACAAGTTCCCTGCATGGTCCGTGGCCTAGATGTTCCGTCACATAAGGCTACTTTTAACCAAGAACATTCCCAATATAATGCTTTAAAAAAAAAAAAGCACCAATGACAAAACAGCAGCTTTCCAGCCGTTCAATTGTAACAAGATTCCTGTGCTTTTTTTCTGAGCAAGACAAATTTAATCAAGCCATTTGACGTGCAGGCCTGGTTTCCAAGGAGCACGCTAGAGCCGGTCACAAAATCAGTTTTCAGGGGGAAATTCGCGGGACGGTCCTAACAACGAAGCCATGTGCCACGTGCCGTGCAGTCTAAGGGGGCTTTTTAAAAGAGCGGCATGAGCTACTACGGGTGCTTGGGTACAAACCCTGCACCTGCACCGTCCTTGGCTAGCAGGATGCACTCTGCTTTCCCGCCTTTTGACAAAATACACTTTGTGGCACATGGGCTCTGGGCGGCCACATGGGGAGATGGTACCGGACCTTGGGTCCTCGAACCATGGCCCGCAGGACAGATCCAGCCCGCATGGCCATCCGTCCGTCCTGGGCTGCCGTTCGCACCCTTGCAGGGAGGTGGTGGCTGACTCGCTCGAGATGGTCTCCGAGCGAGCAAGCCGCCGTCTGCCTCCCGTACATGCGCGCTCACTGCTGCCTCGCAGGGCAGCGAGGGGGGGAAGGTGGTGGCTCGCTTGATCAGAGGCGGTCTCCGAGCGAGCAAGCCACCACTGCGCGTGCCCGATGCTGGCTTGCGCGCGCCCGACGGCACCTCACCGGCCCGCGCCCCCCGGCACCCCCACCTCGCCAGCCCACGCGTGTAGCTGCCGCCTTTCAGCTGGCCCCCATCGAAAAAGTTTGAGGACCCCTGTCCCAGACCATCTAGGCACTTGGCCCGACCCAGCACTGCTCTTTTGATGTTCGCACTGTTTGAGAAAGCTCCCGCCCACCACCTCCAGGTTCACACGGAAGCAGGTTCCCAGCACTGGCTCTCTCCCACTTGGCGCTGCCCAGCCATTTGGACTTCAGCTCCTGTCAGGCCCAGTCTGCGTGGCCGGTGACCAAGAATGCGGAGAGTTGCGTCCGACACAACCAGAGCAGCTGCAATTTACCTCCAATACTTGAGCACATTCAGTAGGATGGAACCAATTACCACACTGCCACTAATTAGACTACAGAAGAAGAGTGTGTGTGTGTGTGTGTGGTTAAATGTTTGTAACAACCAGAGATAGCAGCTTTATTGTACAATTGACCCCCACCCCGATATGAGCCAAGATACTACATATTTCTATTTCTGCCTATGGAATTCAATAGGATCATTTCTTCTGCTTTTGGCTTCATGATTGCCGGAGTCCAAGGAAAACCCAACGCACTCAGGACAGCTACACAGATACATGCACACAAATACTGCATAATCAAACTTCATTTAGCAGGGTGCCTCCCACGGCAGCAGGCTTGCTCAGCGACGGTCTTTTCTAAATCCTACAGGCAGCTTCCATGCATGGGATGATTGAACATCAAGGAAATCCACCATAAAAACACAAGTGCATTCTGACAAGCAACTGTCTCCTTGGCCTGTAGGAGAAAGGTGGCTGTCATCAGATCTCCTCGGAACGAGTGGGCTGGGGCGTGCGCGCCACCCATCCTGTTTCCGTCCGTCCTTCCGATCACTCTTTGAGCAGTCCAAGCTTGCGCAGTGCCTCCCTCCTGGCTTCTTCCGACGACCCACGGCCAGAGAACTGTACTGTGATGCCCTGGGGTCTCAGTCCCGAGGGCCTGGGCAGCGAGCCAGACCTCCTCCTCAGATCCAGGCTGAAGTCCGGCTGCCGGTGGTCGTGAAAGCTCTTGGTCGCCTTCTGCTGGGCAGGCTTACCGTCCACCAGATCAGCGTCTGGTTTGAATGTCACTGTTTTACTCACACTCGGGAAGAGAGTGGATTCTCTTTTTAGGATCTCGTGGATGTTTTGATAGCCATTGGCTACAGGCTGCGCTTGTTCTGGTTTTTCATCGTTCGATGCAGGGCTGCCGAGAGCAGAGTCCAGTTGCGTTCGGCACAGGTTCCCTTCCACCACAGCAAGTCTGCTCAAGGCCTCGGGCCTTGCTTGTTCCGAGGGCAAATCTCGTAACGATGAGCTCCTGCTGTGACCCAAGAGTTCCCTCTTCGGGAGCCGTTCTTCGAGCTCATTTATGAGGAAGGCCGAACCGTTCACGTTGGCCAACACCTGCGCTTTGCGCTCTTGCACGTTGACCGCTGCCTTCGAGATCGTTTTGCTGAACTCCCTTTCGCTGGCGTTAGTGATGCTGATGTTGCTTGGAAACTTTAGGGGCCTGGGTGCTGTGGAGGGTGCTGCCAGCTGCTTCGAAGCTGTGCAACGCTCCCCGTTGTGCAAGGGAGGAGAAGCCGGCACGCTCCTCCTCTCTGAGGAGCCCCCATCCTTTGGAGAAATGGGTAGAGAAGAGCTACTTTCCACCTGCTTCTCTGATATCTTCTGAGCGATTACAAGAGGAGTGGGGATTGAGCGAAGGAGTTTTGGGTGCTGCACCGGGGGTGGGGCAGGAAACAGCTCGTAGATGGGCAGTGGAGGTGCGGACGGCAGCACGGGAGAAGCTTCAAGACGATCAACAGAGTCATCTTCCAGCGGCTCAACGTATTCCGGCGTTGCTTTCCCCAGCTGCCAAATCTCCTCCACTGTTTGGAAGGAAGAAGAAAGGCGATACCAAATTATTAGAATGAACTGTGCTGTTACCTGGAATGGTGCAATTCCAGCCCCTGAAAGGAGATTTCTAGTGGCTTGCAAAGTGGCTGGTCAATATCAAATATATATCCTAAAAGCTTGTCAGAATCATGATAAAAGCATCTTCGAAGATTTCCCTTCCTAAAAGCTGCAACAGAACCAGTCCTTCTGGCTCCCCTAGGAAGGGAGCTTGCTCATGTGGGAGCCGGTAGGGACAAGCTCACCCTGAGGAATCTCGCTCCCGAATGTGATGGTATTCGGCCTCCCCCGAAGAACTCTGCGCTCAGGAAGGCATATTTTGTAGGGATATGGCCTTCTGAGGGTAGGAACAGGAAGGCAGCTGCATTAGAAATCAACAGAGTCCTATGCCAGCGAGACCAAGAGGTGCCGTGAATGTCAGAGGAGGAATTCAATTTGGTGAAACCACAAAGAAGCTGAACTGGGATTTAGGAAGGGAGCAAAGAGCCATCTGTGTCTGGGTGCAGAACTTCAAGATTGCTGGGTGCACCCCTTTGGGGTTCCCAAACAGCCAGAACACCTTGCCCAGCTCCACTGCTCCCCCAACACACCAACCCCCCCCCCCAATGATTTGGTAGTTTGACAGAATTTGTGCTGATTTCCTCCCATTCCAGGAGGTTCAAATGCCACTGCTAAAAGCCAGTCTTTCTGCTCTGCTTGGAAAAAGCTTTCCCTCCTGTGAAACAAGCACTCCACCTTCTGCAAAAGCCAAACATCAGGGCAGGAAACATTTCTCGCTTTTCCCAAGGTACAAGCCACATCCCTTGGGAAGGGGAAAGCCACCAGCAGGCCCCCAAGATGGAATGGCTAAGAGGGCAAATCAAGATCTGTGGAGCCCCGTTCCTCTGGCGGCAGCCTTGCTTCACTTCATAACAGGATCCCTGGCCAGAAATCCCCATTCTCCATTTCTAGGAGAACGTGCTGATAAAGGACAGATCTGTGTCATGCTAAACCAAGCTGCCTTTCTGGGTGTGTACACCTGGGGCTCGTGCTTGCAAACCCAATCCGTGCCCTGGCTGTGTCAGCAGATGCAGGGCTCTGGGCCGCCCAAGATAGCCTGACAGGAGCCACCTGTGCCTGCAGGTGGCTCCTTGTCCTCCCCGCTAAGCCAGCCAGCCTGCTGTACCTGGTTCTGCATCTCTCCTGGGACAGCGATCTTCAGCCGACTGCACCAGGTCTATGATCTCTTCCGAGTCCGAATGGCTTGACAGGGTCTCATCCACTGACCTCGGGGAATGGCAGTGGATTCCGCTATCATGGAGCGCTTGCTCTTCCAAGTCAGCCTCCAAGGAATCAATGGTTTCTTCAAAGAAGAGGAGGACATCTTTCTCCTCATGGGTTAGATACTTCAAGGCATCGTCCTCCTCCTAAGATTTAACAACAACAAAAGTCAGGACTGATAGAAAAAGAAGGCTAATGCACTCTTTTCATACCAGTTCTTGAACCCAAGCCCTATGGAACGTTCAAACAAATTGAAGGCGAGCTGCTACGCCACTTCCTAGCCAACTTGATTTCTGAGCTGCTTAGAATAAGTTGAAAATCATCTCCTTTTCAAACCAGCGGGATCACGTCCAGGTCCCATTTGCTCCCATACAACAAAAAGTGAAAAGTGACATGCTACATGGGAATTTGTAGCGGCGGGGAGAGAGAATGGATCCCTTGGCTGAGTATTGCACGTGTGTGTGTTGGAAGCTCATTGAACTGCCTTAAAACCAGGCGAAGAGGAAAAAGGAAGTATTGTCGGAAGCTGTAAGCCAAAACATCTGGGGGGAACATCTGGGGGGAAGGACATCTTGCCTACTCCTGCCATGCAGCATTTTTTTTTTTTTTTTTTTTTTGCTTGTCCCTCTTCATGATTTGGGACTCCTAACTGAATGGAAAAATATACACCTCAGAAATGTTTTCTTACTATTACTTCTTGCAGGCCACTTGCCAGAAAAGCAAGAGAGCAGCCTAAGGGACCCCTCGCTCCATCCCAAATCACCTTAGAAACGGTTAAATGTTCGATTCTCTGAAAGGCTTCCCTTATTTATCACCAACACAAGCCACAAATTAAGGGAGCTATCCTGTCCATATTTAGACATAGGATGTCCTACAGCTCCCAGGATTCCCTAGCCAACCGTGCTGACTGGGGCATGCTGGGAGTTGTAGGACTTTTTCCTGTTTAAGCATGTCTAGGTGACATCCAATGTGGGTGGCATCCAACACGGCCATCAGCAGAAACTTAACACTTCCCAGAGAAAGTCCAGAAAAAAAGTGGAAATAATTCTGGTTCAGGAAAGCTGGAGGCGCTCCCACATGGAAGCTCTGTTGACCTGCCCCATCCCCACATAAGAAGGCACTAAGAATGGCAACAAAGACTGGGGGACTGGAAACTAGGCCTGACAAGGAAAGACTGAAGGGACTGAACTGTAACCTTGGAAAGAAGAGATGGAGCAAGCATACAATGACCCTTTGTTGTTGTTGTTCAGTCACAAAGTTGTGCCTGACTCTTTGTGACCCCGTGGACAACATTCCTCCTGGTTCTCCTGTCCTCCACCATCCCCCAGAGTACGCCCAACCCCACACCCACCTCTCCAGTGACCCCATCCAGCCACCTCAAGCTCTGCTGTCCCCTTCTCCTTTTGCCTTCGATCATTCCCAGCATCAGGGTCTTTTCCTGTGAGTCCTTCCTTCTCATTAGGTGGCCAAAGTATTTGAGCTTCAGCTTTAATGCCTGACCTTCTAAAGAGCAGTCAGGGTTGATTTTCTTTAGGATCGACTGATTTGATCTTTTTGCAGTCCAAGAGACTCGCAGGAGTCTTCTCCAGCATCACAATTCAGAAGCATCAATTCTTTCGTGCTCAGCCTTCCTTATGGTCCAACTCTCCCAAGCTATACATTACAATTGGGCAAACCACAGCTTTGCCTTTACGAACTTTTGTTGGCAGGGTGATGCCTCTGTTTTTTAGCACGAGGTCTAGAGTTGCCATAGCTTACATGTAGCTCAAGGACAGTCACACCAAAGGGAGTCTCAACCTTCTCCTGACATCCAGAAGTGTAGACCATGAAAGACTTAAGTTAAAGGAAGGCAGATTTTGGTTAAGCATTGGGAAACATTTCCTAATGGCTTGAAATAGCCATGAAATAGCTGCCGAGGGAGGTGACAGAAGCCATTGCCACGTTGAACACAGCATTGCGAGTGAATGGCTTAAATGGCTCCTTCCAATGCAAAGATCAGGTCCAGAAAACCCCACCGCCAGTACCAGGATATAGGATGTTCCACCCTATCCACACAGCTGCACGGAATCCCAAAGACTCTGCACCTGTCGGGGCCCTCACAGAACCCTCAGCCCCATCTTCACTTCTAGCTCCTTGTGGTCTTCAGGCTCAGCGTTTGGTCGTTTTGTCCTGACAATGGACCACCACTTATAGCTGAAGGAGCTACCACACGTACAGAAGCAGCATGTCATAGAGCTGAACCGAGGCCAAAGCACTTCCAAACACAGATGATCTTGTACGAGGAATAGTTGCTCACAGGGGGTTTATTCAGCCTGGAGAAATCATCACCAGCAGGCCTGTGAGCTGTTTTCCAACTGCTAAAGGGCTGTCATATAGACAATGGAGTAGGCCTGTTGTGTATCACTGCTTTCTGTGCCCCCTTTCTGATTGGCTGTTCTCAGACGGCCAGCCTCCGTGGCGAGGATCCGCCCTGTTGATAGCCCTTGTCCATCGGTGGCATGGAGGGGAGCTGCAACACCTTCCCCCTTGAAGCCAGTGGGCAGGACTAGAGTCAAAACTTCCAGCCCTGGATTCTGGACTGACCTACCAAGAAACAGCTGTTTAGTGATGCCACCAGATTTCATAATTAAGTTGGCTTGTTGGCTGAAACTTGGTCGTTCGTAATGCTCGCTGTGGTAGGAAGCCTGAATCAACATGTTGTGAATTTGCTACAAAGTTTGGAATTGAGGGAGTGCATCGAATCATACGCAGTGAAGGAGCACACAGATCTCTCCCATGTCACCAAATTCTCAGTTGTCCAGCCACCAAGACCTCCCCCACCCCACAAAAAAAGAGCTAACTCCAAGCCAAGACCAAACCTGGAGACATTCGGGAACATTAGCAGCTGCTTGCTCATTAATTAATTATATTTAACGTTTTTTCTATGCCGTCCCATTACTAAAAGCCCCCAGACGGCTTATACAAAACCTCGTTTTCATTTCTATATTGCCTGCAGCCAAAGACCTCTGGGCAGGGCAGGGCAGGTCATGTCTGCAGAAGCTGAAATCCACCTTCAGAGCAGTGGACTCAGTTCTTGCCAAACACTCAGTAGGCCAAAGTCCAGAGAGCCAGACTGAGGGAATCCAGTGGTTTCCCCATGCCCAAACCAGATTCCTCACCCCTCTTTGATGATGAGTGAATGTCTTGCGCCATGTTGCACTTTGCCATTCCGAACTACAGCTCCCAAGATGCACCCTGATACTTCACATGCACAGAGCCTCATGTGGATAGAATGTGCTTTCTTACGAAAGGAGAACTCACCTCTGTGCTCACATGGACAAAGTCATTATTTTCTGAGTAAATAATGATTTCATTTGGGTCAAGTTTGCGTATCGCAATTTCTGGTACAAAGGGGTCCCCATGCCTCTTCAGACATGGGTGTGCGGCAGATCTGCGGGTTAGTCAGCACACACGTCTATCTGCTCCCGTGAGTCAGCACTGGGACAATAAGCCCATCCCATGTTAGTACTTGCATTACAAAATCAATTGGAAAGGATGGCCAAGGAGCAAGGTCCTAGGGAAAACCTTGCCAAGGTGAGTGATGTCTCTGCTGTCCTTGGACTAGGGAAATTCCGGACTCTCTCCTTTTGGCAGTGCATGTTACTGGGTCCCAATGCTTTGTAAGTCCTACAAAATTCACCCTGCAAGCATAGACACAGAAGTGGCAATGCTGGGAATTATTGTCCCTTTTTGTGGCACCTCTTGCATTCGTTTCTGCAGCAGCCAGGAGCAAGGGAAGCATCCAAGCCCAAGGCAAAGCGAGACAACAACACCCAGCTGAAGCCAGTATCTTAAAAAATAAAAGGAACAACTAAAAGCAAGCTGTGTTGGCCTACAAGAAAAAGAATCCAAGAAAACAAGCCAAGAATCACAAAAGCAGGGTATTAATATCTCTTGGTGGCATAAGGATCAAATAAAATCGAGATATGTTAAAGATCATAAAATGTGGGGTTTTTGTAAGGAGTTAACAACATTTGACCAAGTGATCTTAAAATCAGATGAGAAAATGGTTAAAAGACTGTATAATTTTCTTTTGGATATGAGAATGGAAGATGAATGAGTTAAGGAAACTATGATAACATGGGCACAAAATTTTGGATATAATATTGAGTTACAGAAATGGCAAAAGTTGTGGGAAAGAAATATCAAGGTAACTTTAGCAACCTCATATAAAGAAAATCTCTATAAAATGTTTTATAGATGGTATCACCAAATAGAGTAGCAAAGATGTTTTCAAATATGTCAAATGGATGTTGGAAATGTAAACATAAACTGGGTACCTTCTATCATATGTGCTGGACTTGTGATAAGGCAAAAAAATATTGGGCTAAAATTCATAAATGGCTTGAGGAAATGTTACAAAAATCTTTACTATTTAAACCTGAAGTCTTTTTACTAAGCATTGTGTCTGATGATGTTGATAAACAAGCAACGTATTGGATTTTACATGTAATTACTGTGGCAAGGATTGCATTTGCCCAACATTGGAGGAGTGAAGAACCACCCACTGATGAACTGATTTTTAAAAAGATCCTGGACTGCGCTGAAATGGACAGACTGACTTTGTCTCTGAAGGAGAAAGAGGATACATACTTCTATCAAACTTGGAACTCTTTTTATCATTGGCTAGAGAAATGGGACCATGCGTAGATTTGAATATATTTACGGATTGCTATAAAAAAATAATAATGGGGGGTTGACCCAGAAGGTCTGATGTTTCTGATGATTGATGTTTTTTAGTTTCTTTTTTTTTTTAGTTTGTAGAAAATAATAATAAAATTTACTAAAAAAAAGAGAGAGAGAGAGAGAGAGAAAGAATCCAACATCCACACTTGGGAAATACCTTTCTTGGAACCAACCAAAGCATCATAAAACAATGAGCAAGCATTCAAGTTCACCAAGTCTTGTTATCAGGCTGGATAAGAAAGGGCTGAGGGCAGGAAGGAAAGCCGAAAGGATTCTAGTACTACCAGGCAGGTGGCATGGTGCTGTTGTTCTGTCTTCCTTAATGGGTTTGTGTTTTCCCTGGTGAAAAGGCAAACAAGTTGTGATGGGAAAACACAGGAGGGTTTGCAAAAGGGAGTCTTGTTCTCCTGCTAAATTCCATGAATGAAGTACTGGGATTGAACCATCAAAGCTCCATCTGGAAGCATGAATGGACTCAGAGATAGTTGGGTTCGGTTCCACTGGATATAATGAATGCTTCAGAATGAGATTCTGGTGACTGAAATAGTCCTTACTGGCTGATCCAAGTTAAGCAGAATTTCAAACTGTTTTTATATCAGCAGGGCCAGAAACTAATTTTAGATGATGAAGCAGGTTTAGAAAAAGGAGCAAAACATGGTAGCTAGGTAGAGGAATGCAACCTTCAAAGAAGTTAAGTTCATCTTCAGGTAGTCAGAAAATAACCTTCCATTTTAGATCCTACTTTCAATGGCTTTTACGTATTGAAACACTTGCCTTGTCCCAAGTGCTAAACCTGGAACCAAGCCCCACTAGACACGCTGGGGGCTCCACCCGAGTAAAAATGCATGAGACTATATCATAAGCCATTCAGTGTCATCACTTTGGCCTTTGCTTCAATTGTACACTGTAATTTCAGCTTTTATAGTGTAGTTGATGTTGCAGTCTATGGTTTTACTTTTTCTCAACTGTCCAGAAAGCTTTGTCCAGAAATCAATGCTGGTGGTTCTGTAATTCAGACTTCCCCAGCCTGGTTGTCTTCCAGATAAGCTGAACGGTGACCAGAAGAAAACAGAGAGAGCAGGTGCGCTGGGGGTACATGGTCCAAAGGACATTTACAGTTCATTCCAACATACAGGCCATACAGGTGGCAGGTAGACAGCCCTGAAAGGGGCTACCAAAATGGATCCTGTACGGGATGCCTGTGTTTGGGGGAAGGCTGGGGATGAGGTAGGTGAAGGGTGCACAGTATGCCAGAGGCAGAATAGGGTAAAACAATAGGGCTGAACCAGTACAAATGGACAAGCCTTCAGGACAGGCAAACATGAGCAAGTGTGAGGTGTGCCCCAAAGGAAGCCCTTCCAAGACAGGGACATTAGCATGTCTAAGGTGTACTTACAGGGAAGTAAGCCTTGCAAAGGTAAAGGCAAGGGTTGCCCCTTGGCGTTACGTCCAGGCCTGCCTGACTCCAGGGGGCGGTGCTCACCTCCGTTTCCTGGCTGAGGGAGCCAGCGTTTGTCCGCAGACAGTCTCTGTGGCCATGTGGCCGGCATGACCAAACACCGAAGTGCACGGAACGCTGTTACCTGCCCACCGAAGTGGCACCTTTTCATCTACTTGCATTTGCAGGCTTTCGCACTGCAAGGTTGGCAGGAGCTGGGACGGAGCAACGGGAACTCACCCCGTTGTGCAGATTCGAACTGGCGACTTTTCGATCAACCAGCCCAGCAGCTCAGCAGTTTAAACCACTGCGCCAACTGCAGTCCTTGTAGTGGATTCCTGATCAAAGCAGGAATCCCTTTTACAGCTCAAGCTGTTCTTACAGTGTCATGATTTTAGCAGCCAACTGCAGAAGACATCTCTGATTCCATGCAAAGAGGCAAACTACTGCAAAAGACTCTTCCCTACTCTTGAGTAGACAGCTGGTCCAAGAGCAAAAGGTGCTTCACTGGGGAGTCCGAGAACTGCAGCTTGGCCATTCACAATTCAACACTTACAAGTGCAGAACTGAACGGAGTTCAGAATCTTTTCACATAACGACCCACTCCCAGCTACTTCAAGCTGTCTTTATTTAGCATCCTAATTCAGGTGCTAAAAGATATTTTCCTGTTGCTTTGTTCCCACATGCTATCAAGTCCTCTCCATCAGCTCTCGTAGCCTCAGGGCTGTGGCTGCCTTGATGGAATCCGTCCATCTCATATTTGATTGCTCTCAGTCCTACATTGAGCCAGGCGTTGGACCCAATGGCCTCATTGGCCCCTTCCAGCTCTTCAATTCTAGGATTCCGACTTTGACTCTCCCTAACATGATTGTCTTCTCCAGTGAGTCTTACCTTCCCATGATATGCTGAAGTTCAACAGCCCCGGTTCGACCACGAGGAGTCAGGAACCCTGGCTGACCTACCACAAATCACCCAGAGCTCCCCCAGGGGATCCTGATGACCAGCTCTGCACTCCTCCCAAGGGGCAACAAGTAGCCATCTTTGCCCAGGAAGAAGCATTGTTCACCATACTTTACACCATCTTCCCCACCCTGGTGGCCTCCAGACATGCTGGGCTACAACCCCCATCATCCCCTTCAATAACCACGATGGCTGTCGTTCCACACATCTGGGGGGCACAGTTTTGGGGAAGTGGGCTTTACCGTTTCATCTCCTGTAGCCACAGCAGCCTTTGAAGTCCCTCTGCTGCACGTTCAGTTCAGAGTTTCCACTTCGGGTTCTCAATGTGTGTCCTTCCTCCTGCTCTATAAGAGGGGCTGAGTTGGTGGTAGGGCCTGTTTCCCCCGCAAAGCAATTCAAGGGAGGCAAATTGCTCCCGACTTCCATAAACCTGCATTTGCATTCCTACTGCATTTGGAGGCCTTGCCTGCAACCATTCACTGACTTCAATTGTGCTTTCCTCTAAATGGGAACTCAGTAATAGCTACTGAGAGACCATCTTTCCTCAGATTGCTTACTAAGAGCCAGCTATGATCTGCTGATATTTCCTTAGTGGGAACTAATGACTGGGGATGTTTCCTTCATGGGCAATCTACCTGCACGTGGAGGTCCAAAAGGTATTTTGCATTTAGGTATGCACAGTGAAAGAAAAGAAAAAAAAAGTGCCTTCAATTCTGGTAAAGCAAGGCTGAGTTGGGCTTTGCTAAATTTAGAGCAAGCTGCTCAGCAATGGGGGATTTTATGCTCCTGTTCTGTGGGGATCGGATGGAAGATCTGGAGTTGTGCAGCCAGCTAACAAGCCTGTTTGCCTGCATTATTTTTGTACTACTAAGACAGGGAAAATATCAAGGACCGCTTGATCTAAGACCAGGGGATCAAGACTTGGCCTGAAAGAGCAGCACAAGCCCCGCTAGCTGAAGCTAAGCAGGGCTGGGCAACCAAGAAGTCCCATGACCATTATCCTGAGTTCAGTATTGGAAGGAAAACAGGGTATAAATATGCATTTTTAAACAAAAAGGCAGCAATACAGGCTCCAGAGAGAGGCCTGGAACTTCTTGGAAGCTGGGCAGCTGAGGGCGGGGAGAATCCTTCTTGCAATAATATTTGGTTTCCACAATTCTTTAAGGTGATAGGGAAAATCTGAGAGAACAGCCTTTTTATTCTAAAACACAATTCATGAGGAAGTATTCACTGCATAGCAGAACTGCGTTACCAGGAAGGCTTAGCTTTGGCTTATGTTATTTACATTTTGGAAGCCTTTCTGAAAACACCAACCTACACCAGAACTAAAACACATGCAATGTAAAATAACACATGCCCATTAAAATAGAACCATCCTGTAGAACGATTAAAAGCAGGAGCCCAGTGCCTCAGGGTCAAGGGCTAAATCTAGCCATCCGGGGGCCAAATCCAGCCCACCTCCTTCCCTTCAATCCAGATCATTAGCTGCTTTCTTAGCTATTGTGCAGTATGCATCCACGCCAGCCTAAAAGACGAAAATGTCTCTCTTGAGACTTAATACCGGCAGTAAGAGCTTTACGCTAAAATATACTCGTCCTTTTGGTCATGTTGTCTGAGCCCAGTCAGGCTCTTCCAGGTACCTGAGGTACTATGCAAAGATACTTCCTGGCCCTCCAGATGTTGTTGGATTTCAGTTTCCATGAGCCCCGGCCAGCAGAGTGAACGGTCGAGGATGACAGGAGCTGCAGCCTGAAATTACCTGGAATGCCACCGGTTCCCCACCCCAAAAGGTGCACCGCTGGGGACAAAGCATGTCTGCCAACTTCCCCCAGTACAACCTCTGCCGGAGCCTCCGAAATCCACCAATTCTCGCCGAAACTCACACTCCATTCATCATTTCGGCTCCTGGCATGAAATTGTCATCATTCCCACCCACCCATCTCAGCAGCACTTCAGAAAAATCACACAAACAAACCACTGTCAAGGCTTACAAAGACACGGTCTCTGGAATTCTGCTGTAATTATATTAAACTGGAAAAACAGCCTTCCTTGTCTAGCCTTAAGACAAACGGGCCAGATACAGCAGAAAGCATCCGGAAACAACCCAATTGTTGTTTTAAGTGGCAAGCTGGGGACTTTAATGCCTGTCCTTAAAAGCCGTTTTGTACACAGTAGGGCAGTCAGAAGGGCGGGCAGAAATTTTCCTCCCAGATAGGTGCTCATGATACGTTCGGCTCTGCAGTAGATTCGCATCCTGGAATGCATCCCTTTGCACAACGGTCAGTGGTTGGGTTTTGTGGCTCAAACCATTCATATGTACGTTCAGTTTACCTCTATCACAACCTTTTTCTCTGGAATAACTTTGGACACGGGTGATCGACAGAACACCAATCAAATATTGCTAAAGCATTGCATTCTTCAAGCCTGAAGGCTTGATCCTTACACTGATCCCCAACACAAATTAGGTAGCGGGTAGAATGAAACATTTTGGGCATTTTCAGGAACTCTACAAAGGAGTCTTTACGAAGGAGACAGGCACAGAAAGATGCAGACGTGTCTGTGCAACAGTTAGTTTAGGGGCAAAGGTGAAAGAGGCAATTCAGTTCTGCTAGTCGCTTCATCTAAACTCGATCCAATAATCAGCCTTTGCAATGGAAAGCCAACTTCTCTGTTCAAAGAAATGCCTATGTCCATTCCAAATAGACAGCAAGGGTGGATGCTGTAGCTTTATGAGTCGACGAGAAAATTCACACAGAAGAAGGTCAAGCTGTTATTAACTGTGTAGTGTGCTCTAGTTTTGTTTTCGTTTTTAACTCAGAAGTAAGCATGGGGGCTTGATCCAGACCAGGGGCACAATGCACTGGAAAATGATGTTTAACCCTCCCACTCCACAAGCTGCAGCTCCCCTGAAATTTGCGCGCCCCCCCCCCCCACACACACACATAACAGTAAAAGGAACCTCCCAAACAAACCCCCTTTTTGGAATTTGAGTTCTGTATGCATGCATAGACTCTGAAGGATGCTACAATGGTACATCTCACTTAAAAGCCACTCTGAGCTTCCCAGGAGGAAAAGCAAATGGCTTATTTAAAAGCTTGGAAAGATTCTCTAGAACAGTAATCCTCAGGCTGGTGCCTTTCGGATTTTTTGGATTATACCTCCTGGATATCTGAAGGAGCATCTCCTTTCCTATGTGCCCGTCTGCTCCTTAAGACCTGGGCCAGAGGTCCTTCTCTGGGAGCTCTCCTTGAAAGAAATTAGGAGGATGGCTACCCAGAGCAGGGCCTTCTCTGTGGTGGCACCCCGGTTATGGAATACACTCCCCAGAGAGGTTCACCTGGCGCTGACACTGTATTCTTTCTGGCAGCAGGCCAACCCCTTTTTATTCTCCCATTATTTTAAGGTTTAAAATAGGTTGCAATTTTAAGTGGGGTTTTATTGTATAGAATGGATGCTGTGTCCCCCTGTTTTACTGTAAGACTGTCCCAAGACCATTGGTACTGAATGGTAGTGACAAGTTTTAAATAAATAAATAAATAAACTAACTAACTATCCCCTATGACTCCTGTTGGGAAAATTTGGATAACTCCTGTCAGAAAAACATTGCTTCTGTGTGCTTTTGCATTGTGGAATCAATCCTGTACTCCTTCTCAAAAGCACCAGCTTTCCAAGCTAAGTCACTGTTTAAAATGGCATTGGAATTCACAGTTTACCAGGAAGTATCTTTTGATAGCCCAGAGGGCCTCATGTGCCCTGGTCATTTAGAATGGTGCATTACTTAGGGTCTGAGTCTAGATAAGTTATGAGTTCATGAAGTTTCTCAGCAGCTTGAATTTACATGTCTAAGCAGATCTGGAGATGGGTTCAAGTTACTCAACTAAAGTGTCAATACACTGCAATTAGAAATATTGTAATCTCATTGTCTCTGTATGATTGGCTGACCTTCCTTTATCTGTTCTGTATGTGATGACCTCAGAATCTTATTGCAATGTCTTCATTCTGTCATCAATTGCTCTGTGTCTGTGTACGTGTCTGGGAGGGTATAAAATACCCTGTAGTTGTACTGAAACCTTGCAGCGAGTTTACCTCTGCCTGCCTGGTAATGCATTATCGTGAGTCTACCTCACGAACCTGGGCCAAGCAATAAAGCCACAGATGGTCTGAACGCTTGATCTTGATCTTTCCCACAAACCCGAGTTTTATTTCCTCCTCACGAACTGAAATTCTGGGATTTTCTGACACTCCCAACCATTGTTCAGGCTGGCTGTGATGTTGTCCAAAACTCGTGGAGGTCACACCTGCCGGCCTTCCCTGGAGGTCCACTATGAATCACAGAACGATGGACCCCATCTCTTGAAATGATCACCCTGCACCACAGCTGGTTGAATTCTGTACCAGGAGCAGGAAAGCTTTGCATGCTGTGACACATGTTATACTGGTGCATCTGCTTCCACAGGCGCTCTGTGACTTACAAAGGGTGAAGCCACCTGCAGAATTCTTGCTAAAATAAAACCAGCAGCAAGCTCCACCAAGTGAGGAGCTCGGGGCAGAACCCAGCTCCTTGCAAACGGAGTCCTGGTTCTCCCTGCAAACTGATGCCTGTCTCCAAAATAACACATCCCTGATTCTGAAAGTATGGAGATACTGGGTGGCAAAGCACTGCAGGTGAGGAGAGCTTGACCTTCTCAAAGCAGCCCAGCGACAACAACGGTCTTGCCTTTACAAACAGCCAAGAAATCCAACAGCTGCACTCAACGGAAATAAAGTGAAAGAAACTTAGGTCTCCAGGTACTTACCAAGGTTGAACTTCTCCTCCTTGGGTGACTCTTTCCACTCTCCAGGCAATGAGCTTTTTCGAAGCTAGCAAATTTAACTTCCGGAGGAATTTCACACACCATTCCTGCGAAGTCGGACATCATGTTCCTCGGCATCCCACTACCCGAACGAGGAATGCACGTCTTCCAAAAGAGAGTCCTTTTGTCACAGGATATGGAGCACTTTGGACTGCTTACATGGAAAATTTCTTGAGCATTTCTGTATAAGATTGAGAAGGGAGGGTTGGGAGGGAAATGTCACTAGATTTGAAAGTAGAATTTTCAATGTTTACAGTCCTGGAATGAGATTCCAAACAGTGTTTGTAGGTGACTGTTTGAGAAGTCTGCTTGGCAAACACAAATATGCTGACCAGCTCTCAACCAGACAGCCAAATTCCTTTCTGGAGATGCTTTTGGGGGCTGTAATCCAGTGGCAAGTGGGGAGAACGACAAAGGAAAGAGGCCAAAATACTAAAATTATCAGCATATTTTAGGTTAAACGCTTTCTAACAGTAGCTAGACCTTAAGAGAGACATTCAAACTTTCAGAATGGGTAGAAAACTGTCCCCAAACCAGAGAACCACCCAGTGATGGGGAAAAGAAGGTATTTCTGTCAGAACAAAGAAATGCCTGAGGGATGGATTGGGACCCCAGGAGGACTGGAGATGGTCGCTGGGCTTGAAATGCTGTTATCCTACACTAATGTTTATGAGTCATTTTACTGCAAGCCTCGTAAAATACCTTTCTCTAGTTTTACAAGAATACTGTGAATAAAATCACAATAAATTCAAGAATCTAAAATGAGTAAGTGTGTGCCAACAGGGATTACATTCCTTACAATGGGTCTTTTTTCATCTTGCCCAGCTGACAGAGAATGGGCATTCAAAAGCAGCCTATTGTTTGCAGGGGCCCTGCAGCAGCAAACCCATAAGAAAGACCCCAGTTCCAGCATGACAACGGCTGCATTTCTAAATTGCTTCTTGCGCATTTGGAATTCTGCATATTGTCCGGCAATCCTTTTAAGAGAGGCCTCATGCATCCCATTACATTGCTCATGCATTCCCAACTTGGGAATTCAGGACCAGTGCTCAAGTCCAGGGTTTTGAGCGTCCTTGGGGCATGGGGGTCCCTTGTTGGTGGACCCCTGCTAAGATGTGGCATTTTGACAGGTGCCCAACAGGCCTACCCTTGATCCTATTCATGGCCAGGTGTGATGCAAATACAGAGGGTCTCCATTTTAACTGAGAAAGCAATCAAATACAGCAGCCTTTTCTAGCCAAGTGTCCTCTGGAAATATTAGACTAGAGGGCCCATAATCCCCATGTGCATGGCCTGGGGAATGATGGGTGTTGTAGCCCAATGTCTATGGAAGCAGAAAGTGCCAGGTTGGAGAAGGGCGAAACACAGGATTGCTTGAGGACGGAATACACACTTCAAGGATGCGCTCAGCTTGCTTTTGCAGCATGAGCAGGAGTTACTCCCAGCCGCGATTCAGGCATGGGACTTTCGAAATATGTGCACACCCGACTGTAGGGGCAAGGCAACTGTGGCTTCTCCGATTGCCCCAGAATCCTGGAATTAGGGTCATCCTGCCATAATAGCAGGGCTTGTTGTGGGGAAACTGTCTTCAAAGATAATCTGCTTTTACCCCTGAAGTTGCTCCACCTTGCTTGATCTGGTGTTCTCCAGATGCTTTGGACTACAGCTCCCATCAGACACAGGGTCAATGACTGGGGTGATGAAGTTGAAGTCCAAAACAATCAGAAGGCACCAGCTTAGAGGGCTGCCTTAGACTACTTATGAGTCATCTTCTACCTCAGGGATCCCCCAACCTTTTCGGGTCAGTGAGCCCTTGACACATTTGAGTTTTGATAGTGTGTCACGGGCACTCTCACAAAATGGCTGCCAAAGTGGGTTCTGTCCATGCACATGACGGCTGCCATGGTGGGTATGCCCAGTCACAAAAAGCAAACCATTTGGACTAGAAGAAAAAAATGCCCAAGAACCTCCTTCAAGGTGAAGAAGTCCGAGCTCCGAAACACAAGCACCCTTTCAACCCAAATCCAGATGGTGCTAGAAGACAGAACTTCCCTTTGCAACAAAGCACGTTCCTCATGGAAAACAAAAACTGATTTGAAAATCTGAAGAAATAAATGTTGGGCACCAAGAGAGAAGTCCCAGTATCCATGCTTGTCCGCAGAAAACAGGCTAATTCCTGCGTGCTCTGGTCACTCTATCTCCTTCGTTATTTTCAGGAGCTCTGCAAATCCTAGAAGCATCTACCGAATCCCACTGGGTAGGGCAGACTCTCTTTCACAGATGTACCTGCCCAGCCAGCTCCTTCCCGAGGGGTCCCAGACATGGGTCATGACATGGCACTGGGACCCTCCCAGATGCTTCCCTGCACGGCCTGGCTCCTAAGAAGGAGAGGAGGGAAAACAGGCCATGGGAAACTGCCTTGCCACCATATATTTCTCTTGACATGATGCCAGTCGAATTGCCTAGGTAACCGCCATGGTTCGGATTAGAGGACCAACCCTGTGCGATGGAGCAGCAGGCCTGCAGGAAGCCTTCCTCCTGACCTTCAGTCCACATTAAAAATTGAGAGAGACTCTCAGCGGGGCTCAAGCAGTGGGTGGCCACACCGCTGCGAAGGAGGATCCAAGCCCTCTGCATACACAGCCAGGAACGGGCTGCTTGCAGGCTGGTGGGTCCCCCACTGTTCCTTTTTCAGAGGAATATCTAGACCATGCTATCGTCCGACACCAACGGAGAACCAGCCACTAAGACGGGTTTGGGCTCTCTTGCAGAGTTCTCCAGTGCTTAAGGCATCTTTGTCCAGTTTCGCATTCTGGAACAGAACAGAGGTGTCTCTCTCACATCGACCTGGTGTCCTGCAGATGTGCTGGCCTGTGAGATCAGTCCTGCTGGCTTGGCCTCATCGGGTTGGCATCCTTTGTGTTTAGAAGACACCCGTTTCGGGGACAGTTGCTCTAACGGGTGTGCCAGTGCTATAGGATACAGAAACCTGGTCTGGATGGCCCCCTCACCGGTGCTTCTACGGGATGGGAAACCAGCGGCATGCCCACACCTGTCTGCATCATTTTTGCTTTTCTCTGTCCTGCACAGAGGAAGAGTCCCCGCCTCCCAAGTTCCTGCTGCTACCTTTGATCTGAAAGCCAAAAGGAGAACGAGAAACTGTCTTCAATCTCAGAGGCTTCTCAGGGACAGGGCTTGGGGGCCAGGCCTGGCCTCCTGGAGGGACCCAAGACTCCATGGGTGGGATCCAGGTGCTGGCCAGTCAGGACTGAGCTGTGGGGCTGGAGGCCCTGCCCTCTGCCATAGAGGCTACTCTCAATACAATCATGACAACAGGAACTGCTGATTTAAGAAATGCACGCCATGCTTGTGCTCCAAAGGAGGACTTGCCCAGTGGCTTAGGAATGAGAAAAAGCATTTTAAAACCCCACTAACTGCAAGTTTACTAAGGTGCATGCATAGCAAGCTCAGGGCAGGAGCAAAACCAGAAACACAAAAAGCCCCAAACGAACAAATACAATCAGCAAGGACAGCATCAAATGCTAAAAGGGAAGCAAGCTTTTTTCCTTTCTTTTCCCTTGAATGCCGATCAAGAGCAACATGAATTACCTTCTTAGGGTAGGGAGTTCCAAATACAGCAGGTGGCCCTGCAAAGTCTCTTCTCCACCTCCGTGCCCACTCTTCAGACTAACGTGAGCATGCAGGAAGAGTCCTGCCGGGTCAGACCCAGTCCAGCACTCCATTCACTCCATGGCCAACCAGCAGCCTGCACGGCTTCACCAGCAGGACATGAGTGCGAGGGCTCCCTCTGCCCATGTTCCCCAGCAACCGGTGCACACAGGCACAGTGCCATCAGGACTAGTAGCCCTGGATGGCCTGACGGTTAATGAAGCCGCCCATCTCTCTCTCAAAGCCCTCCGCATCGGTGGTCGCCGCCACCACCACCCGTGGCAGCGGATTCCACAATCTAACTCGGCTGGGTGAAGGAGCCCTTCCCCTTTGACCTGCCCGGAGTCTCCCACCCATTGGCTTCATGAGAGGCGTCTGCGGTACAACAGCACGGGGGCGGGGGGGGCGGAAAGGTGCTTTCCTGGCCCCCTTCTCCACACCATGCGAAATTCGAAACGCCTCCGTGCAAGTACTGCATGTTGCTGTTGCTTCCTTTTCAGACATGAGGCCAGAAAAAGCCACTGGCTCAATTCAATGGTCAGGTGGAACCGGAAGGTTTCCCCGGACACAGGAAGCTGTCTTGTACCTGGGCACACCACACAAATCCTTCTCGCCTCATATCATCTGTTTGGACTGGCACAGTCCTCCACAAGTACAGGTTTCCCCAGTGTCTAATACCCAAGCCTTCTTTTTACCTGGGGATGCCCAGACTGCATTTTACCTGGGAGAGTCTGCATGTAAATCAGGTAATATGGCACTGAGTAATGATCTCTGCATTCTCTTGGTAGCTAGCCAGAATCAGTGAGCCGAGATTATCAAATAAGAAAGCATTAAATTCCCCCACCCTGCAAAATGCCTGTCTTATCCTATTAATCATCAGCTGCTCCAGCTGGTGTGAGCTGCTTTAAAAAAAAAACATTTGTACATTAAATGCAAAGACATGCATAACATCTCCTTGGGTTCCTAGAAGCGGTGTAAGGTCACCACAAAACCAGTTTTACGAAGCAAACAAATAAATTTCTTTCAGCGCTGCAGCAGCGAATGGACACAAGAAAAACAGTCTGGCTTCAGGACGCTTCTCAGCCCCTTCTTTTAAACCCTCCTTTTGTGCCAAAATCAACTCCCACTCCCAGATTGGCAGAATATCAAAACACATCCATCTTTTTAAGTGTAGCCAAGGACCAAACCAGATATGATGCTTTAATCACTCCTGATGCTTTTTTAATTTTCCTAAAAGCTGCTACAAGGATGCAAAACTAGGTGGTATAGTTGGAAAACAAAGCACAGAAGGAACGGGGTTTAATCCTCTTAGCCAGCCCCACAATACCGGTTCGATACCTGGCCAGGGTTGCTGCTTGCCATGGAGGAGAAAACACACAGGTACGAACCCTTTCTTTTCTGCCGCTGAGAACTGAGGAAAGGAAGGTGTTTGCAATGTGGATCAGGCACAGAGGGGAAAAGACTGGCTCCCTTCCATCCATGGTCCCAATCCAAATCTCACATGCCTCCCCC